AAGTTGACTTTTTTTTTTTTTTAAACAAGGGCCATCAAGGTTTTTTTCAATATCTATTGATGTAGGTTGTATATATTTGATGTGCTCTGCATCATCGAAATACATTTTTGCGCACCAATCGACTTCTGTTGGAGAAATATATACGAAGAGCACTCTTAAGCTATGCATGATTTCATAGCTTACAAATGCAGATGCTAATGTGTGAATTGTACAATTACAAAGAAGCTTCTGTATCGAGTGATCCCAAGTTTGATCACATTGATCTTGCAGAGGAGCAAAAGGTATATATTATCTGAGCCCTAATAAATTAATCTCTTTTTGGTCCCACTGGAAGATGTGAAGGGCACCAACTGGAGAACAGAACATGTGATCTTTAAGTCATCCATGGTTCACTCTGTTCAGGTACTGAATGAATGTATGTAACCTAAAGCTTGGCTGAGGGAGAAAAGGCAGCACCAGGATATCCTCCCCAAGTATGTCACTGCCGACGTTAGAAAAAAAGTCGAACCTCTCTATAGGTAAACCGTTGTGTTATTTGCCAGTTTAATCGAGGTTTATACGTGTGTTGCCAAAACTGATGGATGCAAGGATAATTTCATGCTGGTGAAGATATTAATTAGCTGCTGATACATTATTATAAACCTTAATCCTTATTCTAATGGATAATTACAAAATCTAATCGGAGGTTGTAGACTTGATTGCCTCAAAGCACAAATTTATTAACTTCGCTATAAAAAACCCTCTGGAGTATCACCACCCTTTTCGAAGATTACAACTTAGAATAGTCGAAACTATTGCCTGAGATATATTTATTTGTCATTACCTACTCACGGAATTTTGAATTTTTAATGATGCAGTTGGGTAAGAAACTCAATAATATACAATCAATTTGATCATGTAACATTGTTAGAAACTCACTAATCTATCAGTTTGATCATGTAACATTGTTTTTTAGTTGGTATTAGAAACTCAACAATATAGGATCAATTAGATAGGAGAAGTAGAATGTAGTACTTGGGTATACTTTGCATGATAGTATTTTTTAGGTCATTTAGTAAAATGTAATCTACAAGTTTTTTAGAAGAGATTGATGTGATGAGAAGATACAATGCATAAACTATTACTGTTTATCACGTTATTTATTTTAAAGGCAGAAAAGAAATAATATTTGCTCTCCTTATATGGTTTTACCAGAAGCCATTTTAACAGTATTTTTTTTTCTTTCATGTAAAATATGCAACATAAAACATATTACAGTGATAATCTCCTTATGTGCACTAAATAAAATATCATTAGTCTGCTTGGTTTAGTTTACAAATTTGAAAAAAAGGGGAAGCAGCTATGCAACTATCAATTAATCATCCATGTTTCTACTTGACATATCAATATCCCAGAAATCCTCAATTAACTTAATCTTGTTTGTAATTTTGTCTTTCTAGAGCAGTGAGGATGACAAATTGGCTGAAGTGGAGCAAGTACTGGTTGGTTTCTTGACTTTTAGAAAATACTTGGAAATGACACGGATGTTCACTGATTTCAATTTTATGTTCTGCTGAACTAAAAGGTAAGGTTGGAGGAACCAAAGAGAATAATAAAGTGAGAGATTTCTGCTTTTATTTTATTTTATTTTTTTCTTGCGACCTTCTTTGTCTTTACTGATTACCAAATAATATATTTGTATCATCTGTAGAGAACAATGATTAATGACTATTATATTTTCCACAAACAAGTGCTCGATAAGATCAGTTATGTCAAAATATCTGAAATGTTCCATTTGACGGAGTTGAAAGTGGTTCGAATTTTCTCTGCTTCGAGACTTAATGCTTGTTGTGTGAGATTCTTTAGTATTGTGTCATCATTATTAATGTCAAAGTTCGCCTGACGTTTGGTTTCAAATTTACAACCATTTGGGACATTTTTGTTTGTCCCGTACATTACAATAGGCTAATCTTCTTGTTACCTTCAATTGCTTGTTTGTGGAGTGTGTCCCGGCTCATGATCCAATTTAAACATATCCGCCTGAATGTCTTTTCCTTTTGTGATGCTCTGTTAGGATGCAGATGGTGAAAGTGAAATTGGGGATTTTCTTACTCATCTCTTTTCTCCAATCTTTATGAAGGTATCAACCACTTCTCTTATTGTTGATCTTTTAGCTTTTTCGTTCAGCCTTCACCATTACATTTTTGGAGAATGGGGTGATATGAGTCGGTTAACGTCATATAATGGAAGGACAATCATCTGTATACTATGCACATCAAAAACAAAATAAGAGACACTAGGCGGGCTTGCTTGATGTTTAAAGGGGTTGTCTATTCGCTTCAAGTGATCGAACGACATGGTAAGAAATTGATAGAACATGGCGGCGCCAAAGAATTTATAGAGCATGTTGGGGTTGTCGAGGGATCAATATGCAGTTTCATGTTGCTTCCAGCTCCTAATCTATCATTTAGGGTGGTTGTGTAGCTCAGATTTATATATGTCGAATTTTAACGTACTCTACTTAGTTCGCCAGCAACATAGTGCGCCTTTTGTTATCACCTTTTGTGTGCTTAAATGTTATTGTTGTAGAATCAATTAAGCTTGTTTATGTTCTGGCGCTTAAAAGATCCTGAATCAACCAACCTTGCTTACTCAAGTAGCGATATTTTGTTTTGTAGCAGGTGCATGCTATTTCGACTATGTAGCCGTTTACGGCCTCTTTTGTGGAAGTGATAACTAAGGATTGGAACTCCACAAAAATATTTTGCCAAAGCGAATTGTCCACAACTGCCAAAAACACGAAAATATGCTGATGACAAATGTTCAGTGTATTTTTAGACCGAATTTTCGTCCGTCGTGAAAATATGACCAAATTTGACGCGAAAATATGAACTGAACAGGCTAAATTTGAGCTGGTTGTGTGTATTTTTTCTTACATTTATACTTACCCAAAAAAATGGATATGTATATTTTTAAATATTGACAAATATTGGTTATAATTATAGACTGGACTAGAGCCGGCTGTGCGTGTACAGCCATCCGACCAACTAGTATATATATATATATATATAAGTAATACTTATAGTTAAGTTATTAAATATTTTAATAAAACTAGCTTCATAAGAAAATTAATTTAAATAAGTTACATTTATGCAAACTTAATTTATCTTAAATGTATTAATTATCTTACTAAAGTAATTTTACAACAAATACTTATACTTATTTAAAATATCATTTTAAAATAATAGTATTTTGGTTTATATATTTATGTAATAAAGTCGTCTTAAATTGAGAACTAGAATGTAAAAGTAAGCCTTTAAGTGAGAATAACTTAAAATTGAAACCCTCAAATGAAAAAGCTGAAAATTGAGACATTATTGTGACACAATAACAAAAAGTCAAGCCCTACAATAGAATTTCTCTTTTAATTGCATATTTTCACTGCGCATTTATTTTAGGCCGAATGCACACTCAGTTAAATGCATATTGAATTCATATAAACTGCATCATGCGAATTCACATATTCTTTTATATAGAATGCATACTACGGTCAACGGTCAACGTCGGAAGTCAACAGCCATCGCCGGAAATCAACGCCAGAAGTCAAATCTCAATGCCAGAAATCAATGGCCAAACCGAGATTCAATGGTCAAATTAATATATAAATAATTAGAAAAGAATAAATAAATCTTGGCCACACATCTTTATTCATGTTTAATGGCTATGATTAATTTCACATACTCACTGTTGGTGAAAACGGACTTCACCCGGACTCCTTCAACTCGAACGGCCTCCGTACCTGCAAGACCTCACGCATCGAGCCTCCGATGCCTAAGTCAATATCACTCCAAAACATCAAATCTCAATAGTATAATTATGAATGTAGAGATAGTGTGTTAATGAGATACCTTAGCTCCCTTTTATAGAGAGTGTACCTTAGGGCCCAAGTTGGACTTGACCAATACTTTCATGCCACATGTCCTAGCCCATGTGTAGGCTTATTCTCCAATATATTCCTTGTTATCCATTAACGTCGGCCTAGTATTAAAACTGGTCTAGTATAATATCCCATATCATCTAGTCTCCACCCACTATGGTCGAGTAAGCATGACTCGATCCAAGAGTGACATGCCTCTTCGGGCTGTTTCCGTCAACGTGCCACTAAGGTCATAATTTCAATAAATCCTCGACCATCAAATAATCTCCAAACCTCTAAATGAGCACCGGGACCCAAATGAACACCAAACGACCACTGAGGTAAAAAACCGAAAGACCTGCCTCTAAGGTCGAACGCCGAAAGACCTGCCTCTAAGGTCGAACGCTGAAAGACCTGCCTCTGAGGTCGAACATTGAATGACCACTAAGGTCGAAAACCAAGTGACTCGCCACTGGGGTCGAAAATTGAATGACCCGCCGCTGGGGTCGAAAACCGAATGACCCGCCGTTGGGGTCAAATACCAAATGACACGCCGCTGGAGGGTCGATAGTTGAGTGACCCTCTCCACTGGGGTCGAACACCAAAAGCCGAACCCCGCCACTAGGGTCGAACCCTAAAGCCGAACGACCACTGAGGTAAAAAATCGAGTGACCTGCCACTGGGGTCGAACACCTAAAGCCGAATGACTAATGAGGTCGAAAAAATTGAGTGACCCTCCACTGGGGTCGAATACCGAAAGCCGAACAACCAATGAGGTCAAAAATCGAGTTACCCAACAGTTAGGTCGAACACCAAAAGCCGAATGACCACTGAGGTCGAAAACCGAGTGACCCGCCACTGGGTCGACCACCGAAAGCCAAACGACCACTGAAGTCAAAAACCAAGGGACCCGCCACTGGGGTCGAAACTTGATTCCTAGAGTAGATTCCTATGCTCCTCATTTTGTAATGTTGACCTTCTTTTGTTATCTCTCGACCTGCTTACTTGGACTTCCATGATACTCTTGTAGATTTTCTCGATCCCTCCGATGTCTTGAATTTGAACATTTAAACTCACACCTATTGTTTCTCGACCACCATGTTCAAGCTTTATTTCACTCAAAGATAAACCTTTTCGACTATCTCGTCCTGTCGACCAACAGTTCAAAATTTGAAATTCAACACTACTGTCTATCCTCTCGTAAACTGAATGTCCTGACGCCACCTTCATGTCAAAAAACCAAATTCGACAAAACAAAACCAAATTAGACCATTAACCTGAATAAACTGACTCCGTGAACTGGTCCAAGTGAACTCCCTCGACCTACCACTGGGTAAAAAAATAAACTCAACCAAACCGAATCAAATAACTAACCCTCGACCTGTCACTGAGGTCCTTCGAATGAACTCCATCTCGACCTGCCACTGAGGTCGGAAAACAAATTCGACAACACCAAAATCAAGTGAAAACCATCGACCTGCCACCGAGGTCTCCAATAAGCTCTGTGTGTTGCTCCAAATGAACTCCAGCTCGACCTGCCACTAAGGTCGAAAAACAATTTCGACAAAATCAAAACCAAGTAAAAATCATCGACCTTCCACCGAGGTCTCCAGTAAGTTCCGTGTGTTGTTCCAAATGAACTCCAGCTCGACCTGCCATTGAGGTCGAAAAACCATTTCGACAAAACCAAAACCAAATAAAAATCAACGACCTGCCACTGAGGTCTCCAATAAGTTCCGTGTGTTGCTCAAAATGAACTTCAGCTCGACCTGCCACTGAGGTCGAAAAATAATCTCGACAAAAACAAAACCAAGTAAAAATCATCGACTTGCCACCAAGGTCTGCAGTAACTTCCGTGTGTTGCTCCAAATGTCTAGCTCGAAATGCCACTGAGGTCAAAAAATAGATCCATACACCAAATCACGTAAAAATAATCGACCTGCTCGAGCTATCTGTTCTACATGTCTTCAAAGACCCAACACTAGGATCGAACACCCAGCCCGAAGTCATGATAGATTTTTGTCGTCGAACACATGCCCACCCTCAATAGAGTGGTTGATACATGCGACTAGCCTCACGACCTTAGTCATGGTGGATTTTTGTCGTAAAAAACATGCCCACCCTTGAAGGAGTGGTCGATACATGCGACCACCCAACCTCAAGGCCTTAGTTATGATGGATTTTTGTCATCGAACACACGCCCACCCATAAAAGAGTGGTCGATACATGTGACCACCCAGCCGCACGGCCTTAGTCATGGTGGATTTTCGTCGTCGAACACATACCCACCCTTGAAGGAGTGGTCGATATATGCGACCACCAGCCTCACGGCCTTAGTCATGGTGGATTTTTGTCGTCGAACACATGCCCACCCTCGAAGGAGTGGTCAATACATGCGACCACCCAGCCTCACGACCTTAGTCATGGTGGATTTTTGTCATCCAACACACCAACGTTTTCCGAGAGAACCGAGGGGGGGGTGTGTGAAATACCTACTCAAGTCAATAGCGGTTTCATTCCGCCGCTACACTGCTCAATATCTTCCCGTACTCTAGTACAAAAGTCAACAACTTAGCCTTTGTGGTGGTACTAGCTTGAGGGATTGCATATCTTATAAGATAGCGCTTTGCTTCGTTCGTTGGGGAAAGGAACTATTTTCGGATACAGAGTATACTATTCGGAATCCACTGATTCGATATAGTATGGTTTCGGGCTGATCGACCTATAGCTAAGGAACTTGGGAAAAAGGGAGAAAGCCTTTTCTTTCTTTGCGAGACTCGCAAGAGATTGAGCTTTTCGGTTTGCTCGGGTGTGTGTGGAAGTAGATCTCAAACACTGTTGCAGAAAATGCTCAAGTTTTCCATTCTTATATAAGATCTCCAAGTAGATTGGCAACAAGTCGGCACAAAGTGATTCATCATGCTCAAAGATGAGCCGATCGCTTGTTTGGGGCGGTTTATAGATCATCAAATTCCCACAAACTAGATTCACTTCCATTTTCAGAGTCAATTTCCGCCTCTTCAAAAAGACTTTCGTCAGAAGGCTCCTTTATAGTCACGACCTCCTTTGGTTGAGGCGGGTGGAATCGATTTTCACCGCCTGAGACTTTGGTAGAACATCCAGCTGCAGAAGGCATCTGGTTTGAAGACTTGTTCCGAAATCGTTAAGTAGATTCACTCAACCGAGGGGCAACAAAGGCTTGAACTCTTCCTGCCAAAAGCAAGGGACCTACTTCTCATCTTAGGAGTTAGCAGATATNCTTGAACCAGGTATTCCCTCAAATGAAAAAAAAGAATAGAACCAGGATCCAAAGAACGAAGCGAAGCGAAGTGAAGTCAAATTGGTCGAGCCTCTGCAAACCTTATTCAAAAAATGAACAAAATCGTGGAAGAGAGATCTACTTACCATATTACTCCAATGATATAAAACAACTGCTCCACTTGGACTGAACTTCGCTTTGTTTGTATCTAAGACCCTTCCATTGCATTGGAAAAGACTCAACTGTGACTATTACATCGAACCATTGAAATTCAATAAATAAGCAGGATCGGCCACAAAATGGGGATCAGGTGATAATAAAGTAGACCATCCCCCAGGACGACAGCTGCAGGAGAACGAAGTCAGTCTCGACCATAAGGAGAGAAGAGGAAATGAGATTCGACGTCAAGGAGAGGGCGAAGCGCAGTGTCTCGGGTTCTGTTAGAAACGTCGACAATGTGCACATTAAAATATATTGAATAATAAATCCTAACGCAGCGGAATCTATAGTAAGGATTAAGACTTACGGTTTAAATTTTTTGTTGACTCTAAGACGTTTCTGATTTCCTCTGTAAGAGATCGTCTAAACCGCAGAGTCCGTTGGGCGGCCGGACTTGGCATCATCAATGCTTTCCGGTTGCTTCTCGGGCTCGTCGAATTGTCTCAGACCTTCGGTACGTGAATCAAACTACTCGGATCGCTCGAACAACATCACGGACTCGAACCGGAGCTTCTGGACCGAGTTGAATCGGTCTAGACCGGTATGCACTGGATCCGGTCAGGTCTGGGCCGGTCTGGGCTGGATCGGGCTGGATCTGGTCAGTGGGGCCGAGGGCTGGAGCTCGAGCAAACCGCAGGCCGAGAAGGTTGCTGGGTGCATAGGCGGGTCGCGCAGTCTTCGCGGGCCGCGCGCTGGAGCTCGTCTGCATAAGTGGCATGAGAGGATGTCGCGCGACAGGGCTCACGGGCGTTGCTAGCATTTTTGTAATATCACATTCAGTAATTAATAAAAGTAATTATTCTAAGTTTGAACTAATTACTTTTATTAATAATGCTCATTCCTAGTTCCGAGCCAGTTATTAAGTTATTCAGTTAAAAATTCGACTTTAAGTCGAAAGTATTCTCGGTTAAATTTTATTCAGTAATCGAGACAATTCAATAATTAATTAATTACGGTCTGTTTATTTTTATAAATGGATTTATAAGACGGGATTAATTAATATAAGATGACGAATAATCGAAATTGAGTATATTTTGATTAATCGTTAAGATAAGTAGTGAACTGAACCCAAGTATATTCGGTCATGAGTTGAGGTAAATTGAGAAATAGCCGAGCCTTAGTACTAAATACTTAGAATTTTTCTAAGTGTTCAAGTCATCAAGATAAAATCATAGTATCGAGCCTTAGCACAATTTGAGACAAGTTAAGTCTCGAAGTAAGGTTAAGTATCCATGAACATTTAAGTTATAAATGTTCAAAGAAGTGAGAAAATTTATTTAGATATTATAGTCTATTTAAATTATTTTAAGAGAAACCGAAATTTGTAGAATTTTCGATTTTTACAGTAATCATTCGGTTTAAGTCCGACTGTGGTTCCGTAAATGTTAGAATATTTCAAGATCATTATATTAGCTCCTAAGAAGCAATATGTTCATTAAATTGAAGGAAAAACCGTGAGTAAAGGATTTAAATTTTAGAATTTTCAGTTTTACGGTAAACGTTCGTTTTAAGTCCGAATTGAGTTCCGTAAATTTTATTATTCTTGTTTTTATTAGCATGATCCAAGATCATGTACGAGCATTACTTTTCAGTAAAAGAGTTTTAAAAGTCAGCTATTTTGAAAGAAAATGCATAAGTAATAAAAAGGATGATTTTTATTATTTTTATTATTTTGTTTTCAAAGATTTTTAGATGATGAATGGTGACATTTTTTCAATAATATATGGAATCAATTACATCACATTAAGCACGAAATTTTGGTCATCAACTGGTGAGAATGAGATGAGAAAATCACAACAAAGTTTTGTTAAGTCTTTAAGTTAGCATTTTTTTCAACAATTGGTGAGAATTTTATTAAACTTGGTGGACTAAGTTTTATCTACCAAAAGCTCATTCATGTTCTGTGAAGTCCTGTGGACGTTGATTCTACTAAGTTGTTCGTGAAGTCCTATGGACGTTGGAACACATAGACTCGACTCCAAGACTCAACCAATTACACTTGGGAGTTCACATAAACCAAAACAAGGATTGACCAAGTCAAACACTCAAATAAACAGATGGCGAATCGATTTACAATTTTTATTGCAAAAGCCGTATTTTGAAAATACTAGATTTTAATCATAGAAATAAGTTGTTCAGGTTATCAAATGAGTTTAACTCTGAAATTTTAACCAAAATTTCAACTCCAAGAATAAAGCAAGACCACCAATTTTCAGCCCCAAACTCAAACTGTGTTATTTTATAAAATTCGAGTAAGTTTATGGCAAAAACGAGCATCAATTAGCAACCAGATCAAATGAATGAATTAACCTATGAAATTTTTATCTAAGGAACCTCAGAATGTACATAGTAGTGTCTAAAAATATCAGTCCTAAAATCCTAATATGCAATTTTTTTAAAATTGCTACAACATTCAGCTGTTTTCAAATTTTCAACATAAATGAACCTAAATGAACACCAAAATTTCCAATATTTACAGAGCATGAAAAATACTACAAACCATGCACTTCAACCAAAAATCATAATTGTTCAGCATCGGACCGATTTTTAACATTTAAAACAATTTCTGGCAGAAAAAAAAAATATTTTTCTAGGCTAACAGAATCAAAAAATTATTAAAATTTAACACAGCCTATAAAACAGACATAAGAACATCATATTTGAATTTCAGAAATTTTCGAGCACTACACAATTAATTGTGCAATTAACATGAAACTGACCAGAAATCATTCTAATTTATTAAAATAGCTACAAACCTCCTAAAATTATGAAATTTACAAACCAGCTACATTTTCAAAAGAGACAATTACCCTCAAAATTTCAAGGCACACGGACTAGCGACCAATTTATGATGAATTTAGTATGAAATCAGCCACTATTCAATTTCGATAATTCATGTAAGACTCAATTCACGACGAAATCATCCGAAGTCTTCGCCTTAAGACCAAGGACGATATAACGTTCCAATCCACAACAACTATATCATGAATCGACGAGGTCTCGTTCGATTTCACAGAATCGAAGAGTTCGTCCACATACATTCAACATATATTTAAATCTCATGAACACAAAATAACATAGGCATATTCATATGTACTCGATAAATTTAACACTCAAGAACACAACATAAACGATACATAAAATTAAACGAGACGGGTCGAGCCTTGTATCGTTCTCGGAAATCGATCGAAAACGGAACGAAGGGGTGACGGGCTCGAATCGGCAACACACGGCTCACGAGGGGAGGACGGAGGCTCAGGTCGACGGAGCAGAGGTGCTGTCCGGTTCTAATGTCCGCTGCTGGGATGCTCACAGCTTGCTGATCGCGATCGGAGAAGGGTTCACGGCGGGGGCGGCTCGCTCGGAAGTTGCAGCGGCGTCGGAACTCGCCAGAACTTGAGTGGTCGCTGGGTCGCTGCTCGTGATGACGGGGGCCTTCTAAACTCGCCGGAAGGGACGCTCCCCGCAAGAACGATGACGGGAGGGGATCACCGCGATGGGGCTCGGCGAAGAAGATGGTGGTGGTCGGGTTGCAGGGTTTCGCGATCATATGGTGAAGATGATGGCGTGATGATGGTGATCGGGTGGTGATGGCGACAGGAGAGGGAGGTGAAGATGACGGCCAGATTTCAGAGGGGCGATGATGGTGAAGGATGAAGGCGACAAATTTTTACGAGAGAAAACTTTCTCTGGTTAAGCCGCGATCGAAAGAAAAGAGAAAGGCTGCGGTGTGTATCTGCTCTCTGAGGAAAAACGAACGAGAAAATATAAGGGCTAGGGCAAGGTCTTGATTCACAAGAACACCCACAACTTTGGGTTAACCGGGTCGGGTCTGACGGGCTGGGTATCGCGGATTTGAGGCTGGTTCAATAAAACGATTCGGATCTCGGGCACGACTAGATGTAGCATTAATTTGGTTTTCTCGGGCTCGATAAATTAAATCAGATAATATACATACATTTATAATACACACAATTTAATTTAAAAATAATAATATTAATAAAAATACGAATATACATTTAATTAGATAATAATAACATTTATGCATTTAATTACAGTTTGACAACAAAATAATATTTAGACAATTAGACATTCTTCGCAATTTAACATATAGATCATATAGACATTTAATAATATTTAACATTCAATCAATAATAATAACGACAACAAATAAAGGCAAATAATAATAATAAAAATAAATAATAAATTTTCCAAATGTTCAATAATCAAACGGGCATTACAACTTGTCTGTTCTAAAAATTCGTTTTTTTAAACTTGGTCTAACTACTGGTTTAGACATAAGAAAATATATTATCAACTTTAATCGAACATACATGTAAAATAGAGCCCCGACCATACTAGCGAATCGGGTAAAATCTGATAATTTGAACATACTGGCATGCAAGTTCGAAACTGAAATACGTCAGCGAAAATATAAAGGCATGTCATAATAATATACAGACTATTGCATATAAGAGTCCACAAAAGAAGGTAGGCAGTGCCAAATCCACGACCACAA